GTCGCAATAGACGCATACTGAGGTTAGAATTAAAACGAGGCTGTTTAAACCGCGTTGTACACGTTACCTCTCAAAAGTAACGAAATACCGTTACACTTTACTTGGCCTTAAAAGTAACCAAGTACGTTACTCGTTTCTTTTTTAAAGAATAACTAAGTACGTTACTCGTTAGCAATAAAAGTAACCAGGCAGAAGTACCCCGTTACTATAGTAACGCGTTACGTACATGTCTGTTGACAGCCTTTAGAACATTTTACATAGGTGCGCCCTGGGCCGGTTTGCTGGCGAATGTAGGTATCTCACCCCGTGGTCAAAATAGCCACAAGATAAACTTTTCGGTCACGTAATCATCTCATTGGGGAGAAATTCGTTCCATTAAAGGGGCGGTGCAACGATTTCTGAACTTCGGCCAATTAATTTTGGGAGTCGGTTTCGGTCATAAAACCATTTTTGCTTCGTGAGCTAGTTTTTATCTCAAAGAAAAAAAAAATAGCAAATATCATAGTTTTTGGCGCCTCTCAACTCGCGCATCGGCGACAGAGTACTTCCGAGTCCCGTGCGCAGTGACATCTCCAAGGGATCATGTCATTTCCGGGTGGGTTCTGTGTCCTCTGCTTTTTGGTCCTTTCATATTAAAAATAGCGCAAAAGAGACGGGACAAAAAGACGAAGAAGCACACAGGACAAACGCTAACTGGCAACTAAACTTTATCCTCCAGCGCTCCTTCTGTGATTCCGAACACCGTATCAACCGTGTCCTCGACCAACACGGCGTCATGGCGTGTTGGTCTCTGACGCCACGCACCCCTAAGAGCTTTTTCAAACGGGAGATCATAATAAAGGATATTTTGGTATACGAACAGGGGACTCCGGTTCGGGCACAGCAAAACACCGCACCCGGTAAGCATCGCCAGTGAGCGCGGCGGACGATACGATCGTACGTTGGGAAACACGAGAAGACGAAAGTCCAGACTCTTATTTGTTTCTCGAACAAACCGAACTGCTAGATATTATACTCGAGACGTTGCTGAAGCTCTTTAATCTATATACAAATATTTACACTAGATGTGCTCTTGACACTGAACGGGACATCAGTAGACCGTTGGGTAGACCGAGCAGTTCCATCATCGCTCGCCGCGTTGGCTCACGAAACTCTTCTTATTTTTCGTCATCGTTAATGCGTTTCCACGCACGCGGAAACAAGATGCTGTCTGAGATGCAGCAAAAACGAACCCGGGGACGACGGGGTGGTGGTGGTAGAAAACGTTTATTGATACTTCAAGCACTCGGATAAAGCTGGGCTTGGTCTTGCGACGTCCCTCCTAGGAAAACGAGGCCAGGCCGGACTCCTTCAAGAAGAAAAGTACCGACCCTAGGATTATCTTTGCCCTGAGGAGGTCTGTGGCAGGCCTGGTCCAATCCTCCCGGGTAGATGGCCGCAGGTTGAGCGGGAGTGAGTTCAGTGCCTTGTATCTGACGGGGGTAAAATATGAACAATCCCACATGAGGTGGTGTAAGTCTGCTGCAGTGGTTAGACTGTAGTAAGGGCATGTCTCGGGCTTGCCCAGTGTGGATGTGTGAGGGTGGAGAGGTCTTGGGGTTGCGTTTTGCTTGTTTCCCGCTCTCTGTTTGGCAGTCTTGCTCGCCGAGATACCCCACAGTCGTTTGATATGTGGGGTGATGGCACTGTTGGATCGGACTAGGTTGGCTGCGCTAGGGGGATGGTTTTGTTGACTTCCGGTAGATGGCGCCACGAGAATTTAATACATTTTATGGATAATACTAGACTTTTCACGCATTGCTGTATGCTCAACCGACAAAATAAAAAAAAAAACCTTAAATTGAGCACGAATTTTCACAAATCGCTAACTTATAAACGACATCCCACAGAGTATGCCCCACAACAGATCCTGTAACCGCCACTCGCGGCTGCAGATCGGCAAATAATTAGTTTTTTGTTTCCTTTGCGATTACGCAACGGAACCGTTGTATTTTGGGGAAAGGATGCATATTTTCGTTTACTTGTGGAACGATAAGCGATATTAAAAATACAAACGGTAAATTGTTTCAACCTTAAAATCGTTGCACCTCTAAGGGCCGGTTGCACCAACGTCGCTTAGCGCAAAGCGGAGCTTAGCCGGGAACTTAAGCTTAGTTTCGGTTTCGTTCGGTTGCACCAAACTCGCTTATCGCTAAACCTAGCACTAAACTACGCTTAACTTAAGCGCCCAACATTGGGCGCTTTGCTTCTGGTTGTTTCTTAATCCTGGATTAAAAACATGGCGGCTGGTTTGTCACGGTCGACGCGGTGGACGAAATTGGTTGTGCAAAGTGTTTTAGGCTACATCAGCGTGAAAGTCTCGACAAAATGACTTTCGATTGTGACAAGGATGCAAAATATTGTCGCGTGAAGTGTTTATCGACCCCTGTTTTCAAGTTGGCTCTCCACTTTCAGGGCGTGTTAGCCCTAACCGAGAAACGTACGGAGCTGTGGGGCTCACGTCTGTATTCCCGTTGGTTCTTCTGTCAACGAGCTTATTCGTATGTACTTACTAATTTTCGCATAGCTGTAACGTATTGTTATTTACCACCTTGTTTATTTACACTTGCAGCGCGTATCCTTCAATCTGATCAGCGCGTTGAATAGTGGCAGTACATGATCTCGGCGATCAGCTGATTGTCGACACCTCTGCCATTTGCATCAGATTGCGGCGCTTTTAAGAGATAAAACAGCGAAAATTCAATTTCTTTCGTTTTCTGAGTTTTGAGACAATCTTCAGTGAATTTTCCTTATCTCGCGAGTAGAATCTTGGCTTCAGAAAACTGTATCGTTCCATAACTGTAACGTTTTTGGTGATCGCATTTTTTTTATATACTTTGCTTTATATCTTTCATTCGCTTCCCGAGAACGAGATACTGTTGTTTCCGAGTTGTGCTCTGTGATGGTGTTTTCCCCTTACTTTTGTCGTTTGTAGTCATTGTGACGATGGTTGAGACTATATACCGGAACACGTTTTCAATAAAATAAATTGAAAGTTGCGCCTTGTTGTGTCCTCCGTAACTTTTTTGGTGATCGCGATTTTTTAGGAATATTTTGCTTTATATCTTTGATTCGTGGTGACGACAAATCGTAACGACTACTATGTTAGATTCGTTCATTGCTGTATCGGGGCAGGCTGGGGCAGGTGATGCGAAGAGACGACCGTTCTTATCGGCACGATGTGATGTACTAGTGGGAGTTTTTTTTTTTTTTTTTCTCTGAACTCGACAGTGTGAAACTGAAGTCCGTTTGAGGCTGCAGCGGATGTTTAACGACGGTACAGTGCAGTTCTGTCACCTTGCTGATAGCAACGAGTACCGTCGATGCAAGGACTCTTGACCTGACCTCTCGACGACTTCTATTCGAAGATTTCCGGCCATTTTCGCAGCTGCCATGGCGAGTTCGTTACTGTTTTGAACTTCATCGGTCTCAGGCTTGACTTGGTTTTAGTAGTCATCTTACCTGCCTACTTATATCCATGATGTTTTGTCTTCAGCGATGTAGCGAGTAGAGTGTCCTTCTCGCGTTCGGTGAGATTTGGGGCCCCCGATGGCTCCTTCGCCTCAAAATGTGGGCACGAAAACTACTACCACTGTCAAAATATCCTGTTATCAACCGATATTAAACACACAATCAAAGATGTAAAGAGCATTCGTGTTTATTTGAAGCTTTGACTTCTGTTATTGAAAGTTAAACGAAACAATGATTGAATTTGGAGGCCTTTAATTTGTTACTCACCGAAGAAATACAGCGAAAAGCAGACGCCGACGACGACTACTACGGCAGTTTTTCTTTTTGCTTTTTTTTTTGTTTACATCACGTGATTCCTTTCCGCCAATCGTATTCGTCGCTCTGAGCGTTCCCTAGTTTGCTCTGTTTGTCCCTAGATTCCCTACGCAAATCCAGCGTTTAGCTAGGGGCGCGTCTGTAAAGCCGGCTTAACGTTGGTGCAACCGGAATTTAAACCCGTGCTTACCTAAGCTCGGTTTAGGGCGCTAAGCCGGCTTAGGAAAGCGCCGCTTTGGGTTAAGGTAAGCGGCGTTGGTGCAACCGGCCCTAAGTCGATTCCGCTCAGCTGACGTAAGCATGGCCTGTCGTTTTATTTCAGTTTTGTTTAACATGACTTCCCCCGAAAAATAACTTCACGTGCCGATTATAAGGCACAAGAATGATATTAATTTTACTTCAGTTTTAATCCATGTTCACCTACTGTCTGCGAGCGAAATCGGACTTTAATCAAGGCGAGGACAAGCTTACCGCAAACATTTGCCTGTAAAACTAGGTACCATAGGTTTCTCGTTTCCACCGACTGGGTCACGTGACCTTAAAGCCCCTCTTGAGGATATTTAACGTCCGAGAGCCAGCAAACCGGTACGGATGTGTTGCATTTTGTATCCGGAAGCTTTGCTAAACATTTTGACTGTCATTTTGTTTTGTGTTCTGATTGTTTTCGCTTTTTCTTATTTTGCATCAAACTTGCCGCGCATATGTACGCGCTGTCCCCGGTTGTTTGTACATATTTGTGGTGTCGATTTACGAAAACGCCCTTCATGACAAAAAAATAAGGCAAGCCTGGATGAATGTGTTCCCTAGATCCGGGTGTTTGTATAAGTACGGCCATGACTACATATTGCTCATCCCATGTTTATTTTGTTTTTGCTGTTTTGAGGTTTTCGTTTTGATTTTGTGTTGAGGCAACTACCGCGTGACTGTGTAACCTTCCAATAATAACAAAACGTATTTGTTGTTTTTGTTTTTATGAGTACCGAAGTTTTATTTCCACGATCGTAAGTTCCGAAGTTAATGTAACCCGTTGTAAGCAAACTTTGGATAATCATTTCCAATACGCCGTAATCACCATCACTTGTGTACTTTGCCTGTCAGCGGACGTTATTCTTTCATTTACTATTTTAGTTTACTGAGCGCGTAATTTTATTTTTATTGCTTCCTCCTTTTCGCAGCACCACAACCACTGACCCGGAGGGTGGAAATCCCGTCGTTCAACGAAGCATGACGTCACTCACGTGAGTTTCGATGTCTGTCTTTGCTCTGAGGCTCGGTCGTTTATTTCGGCAACAGCTTCGCTAAGGTAAACGTTGCGTCGGAAATATTGCGACAAAACAACGCAGATCGCTTGAAAAGTAACGAAAATTCCTAACTTTACGTCGATGGCGAGTAAAAAAAAAAACAATCGAGTGTGAATAAATGATTTCGATTTTGTAATAGACGCTAAAGTCCCGTAGTCTTTGAGTATGTAAGGCAATGAACGTGTAAACTCCGCCATAATGATAATGGACAACACGAAACATATAATGTTCCTCTTTCTTTTTCTTTTTGGAGGCGAAAAAAAAAGGGGGGGGGGGGGGTGTTGAAAATCTTTATTTCTATTTATTTGTTTATGTAAGGTAGTTTGAACGCCTAGAGGCTGCTCATACTTTAGACTTAATTTAGGACACGACTTCCGGAGACTGTGTTTCGTGCCATGTATGAGGAGTGTGAGCGTGGCTTTAGAGGAACACCGAAATCGACATTAACTGAAGAGCGTGTTGTTAACAATGACTGGCAACAGAAATAATTTGTTTATTTGTTTCTTTTTTCTCTGTTTGTTTGTTTTATCCTTTCTGTTGCAAACCAAAATTGAGTCTGTTTGTTTGTTTTTCTTTTGTTTGTTTGTTATATTGTATCTGTTACCAAGCAAAATCGAATGTGCGAAGCAGACGACTCGGGAGATATGTGTTCTAAGGAAGTGTAAAAAAGTCTAGTCGCCTACCGCTTAAGAAACTGAGGGCCCAGCGAGTCCCCGGATTCTTAGAGCCGCTCCGCTGCCAACGGACGAAATTGCGGCAGTAGTCAATAAGATCGCCGAATGAACGACTAACGCTCTGCGGATCTTATAAAAAAAAAAATAAAAAAAATAAAGAAACGGTAACCTAAGCTTTTTAAAAGCTAAGAGGATAGCAGCCGACCCACATCTCTCGAGATACTTAATTAGCTTCTTTTTATCGGGCTTGTCGATTACATGTTTAACCCCCTCCTCCCCTTTGTGTGGCTCTTCTTACGTTCCAGGGAACCTTATTCTACCTGGTATCGATGCTAAGTAAATAGTGGAGTTGACCCACACGATCCGTCGGTAGCGCGTCCTCTGTACTCTCAAGTCGCGGTCACCTTGCTATGCATCAGACAAAACAGTCTGGAGAGACTTTCCGTCCTCGTATGACAATCCCGGCACATTTTCTCACGCAAAAACTGCCTGCGGCGGACATCTTCGAAGCGTACAGATGTGTGAAGCAAACACCCACCGAACATGTCTGAGGCGCGTCCTCGGGTACTTTAGTCATCAGGTCCACAGCGAACTACCGCGTCGTTCGTACGAACTACGAGTATGGTGCCTGGAATGCGTCCTCGACGTGGTCCCTCCATATCCGCCCGGTGACGTCATACAGGTGTCCCGCTGTCGCCGGTCGCGATCCTGGCGGTGTTCCAGCAGCGGTCGTGGATGTGGCGGACGCCTGTTTTCCTGCAGGTCATGCACTCTCCAATGTGATATGTGTCCACGGAAGCTTCGGCGGCCAGAAGTTGGGACTCCACGACGACAGCGACACTCGCGTTCGCGCGTGACTTTCGCCGGCATTTCTATGACCAACCGCCAGAGTCGGGACACTCGACAGCGTGATGCACTCCGGCATCTGTGACGTCATTTGTTGCCGCTTCGGCACCACTTTTGATGTATGGGCGAGATGGGACGCTAAACACACCAGTCGGACGCGCGCTCCAGACACCATAGAATACGGGCAGTGTCACTGCGGCTTAAGATATGGGCGCTTCCCTGCCGCATCCCCCTAAAGAAACTGAGGAGACAGCCCACGCGCTGTAATCCGCTCTGCGGCACACGTACTACACATCTATACTCCACCAACATTCGAAATTTCGCGGAGGTGTCAAGATTACGTTGTCACGTGACGCTGCAACGAGTCATGTGGCTTCGACGTCGCCTGGTCACTTGACGTCGTGTGACGTCCCGTGACGCCACCATTTATTTACTAAATTTAGCGGACACATTTTCACGCTAAATTTAAGGGGAAACGCTTCACGTGACCTTACAGTGTCAGGTGACATTACGTTAAGTGTTGCCACGTCACAGACTCCCCGCTAGATTTAGCGCGGAACTGCTTTTCGCCACTTCACGTGACGACGTCCTCTTGCGCGTCTTAATTTGCCCCGTAAATACACGTGACATGACTTCACAATTTCCCGGCTAAGATTAGCGGGGTTGTTTCTTCGGCTGAACCTCTCGAAAATGCTTCCCCTGACATCGAGGTTTCACGTGACACTGATTTCCCCAATAAACTTTTGCGGAAAGGAATAGTTCACTAAATGGAGCGGGCCACGCCGTACACCGTATACACGCACCAATTTCGCTGCGACACCGCAGCAATAACGGCTGTCGTCGTAAAAGAACAATTATTTGCGTCCCCAGGGAATTACGAAGCTCAGATTACCATCACATAGGTGAAAATCTGACGGGTGCACGCACATAGAGCAAGTAAAACGGCGTGTGAGTACATTGTCCCCGCGCAAATTGCCATTTTTGTCTTTTTTACTTTTGCATTTTGAATTTTATTTGCTCGGTTTCTTCTACTGTTCGCCATAACTGGCTGTCTTCGGGACCGCTTTCGATGCATGGGCGAAATTAGACGCCAAACACACCAGTTGAAGACGCCTTCCATGGCACCGTACTTATATAATGCGAAGAATTCATCGCAGTCTATTCGATAATATAAAAGCGGATGCGGTTAGGTATTCGTTGAACGGCTCTATCAGGTCAACGTCCGCCCTTCGTGTCTTAGTCCCAAAAGGTGCATCGGCATGGAGAGGACTCCCCTGGAGAGGGCGCTGCTCGTGCTGCTGGTCGTCATGACGTCCCTCTGCGCCATCATGCTCATCCTTCTGGCGAGGCCCTCCTCGAGATCGTCCAGAACACGTGAGAACTCTTTCCGGTTGTCAATAAACGATAAATGAAAAAACAGCACCGTTTAAACCATCGGTTCAGGAAACTTTGAGTATCTACATTCCCTCAAGGATGAGACAATCGCTGCAATTATACGGATGGTGCTCGACGAATGACGATGCGGAAATTATATTTAGACCTAGAAAACAGAGTGCGCTGTGACACTGACCAGGGTCACGCTTAATGTTAGAACGCAAACAGTATTATATTGTTTTAATAGGGAGTTTTTGCGAGTCGTTTTTCAAGCACACGGTTCCGAAATCACGAACGGTACAGCTGGTTCGTTCCGTGAAACCGTACGTCAAATTTGACATAGTTTAGCTAATCGTGAAAGCGGCGCGACCGTGCAAACGATGATGATGATCGTGCTTAATGGTGGCGCCATCTTCGAGTAAACATGTGAAACATTCTGCAACGTGTAAATCAGTGGCGACGGTGGCGGACACCGTGGTGGCGGTTCGTGTTTCCCGCGTACGACTGATGTAAACAAGACGGGCGACGTAACATTTGCCGGTCGGAATTTTAAGAACTGCGAAGCTAGATAGAGTAAAAAGTGTCTGAACGACCGTAAAGGTATGTGGTGTGTCTCCGTCATCTTCAGCTTGAACGATCGTTCACGTTGTGTGCCGTCGAACCAAATCATTTCGTCTGCTCGCTGTCGCCACAGCAGCTAGTCTGCCCGCAGATCGCAAAACTTTACTAGCATGCGCAGTTTACAGCATTCACGATCGCTTACCATTGTGAGCAGTCCTCGAAATGATTTGGTTCAACTTCTGAAATGAAGCAGACTTAAACAGGACGGCAAATCGCCTCCCGCTGTCCTAAGCCTAACGCTCGGCTGGGTCGGCGAAGGCGGTCGCCGAACCAACCGCCATCTTTTTTTTTTTACCCGAGTCGTGAACGGTGCTGGCTGCGTTGCGGTGACGACTCCAGCGGCCGGAATGGGAGAAACGAACGAGAAGAGCCTCCCGACTCCCCGAACGACTCGCGCGCGCATGCGCAGTGGCGTCGCGGATGCGTTCGAGGGCGAACCGTTCGTGTGGAAACGACCTGCTAAAACTCCCTAATGTCTCAACATAATTTTGCCCTCATCATCCGCGGAGTATTCTTGCGTAGATTGCAGTGATTGGCTTTTCCAAAGGCTTTGCGGGAAAGCAGAAGCTCCAGATTTTTTGGAGTGTAGAGCAGAGATAAGACACTTCAAAAGGCAAGACCAGCGTCTAAACACTGCCCGGAGCTCGGGTACACAGGCTTTAAAATCTCACAGGTCACACCGGGCATTTGTAGAGACCTCAAAAATCATGCTGAGGATTCATGCTAAAAAAACACTGGAAGTAATATAAACAGCAAGAAAAAACACTAGAAAACACACAAGTGAGAGACAACGCAGGAGAAGGCGTATGCGCCTCTCACTTTTGGTTCCCGTGTTTTCTTGACGTAAAACAATTTAGTATGAATGAAAAGCAACTAGCTCAACGTGCAGTCTCAAGGGGGCCATGAAATAATTTTTTAAATTCCTCCTCCTCCGCTGTCCTCCTCAACTCAAAAGCGAAATGCGAAATCACGTTGTCGTGACGTAGTATTTAATCGGATGCGATTACCCCAAGCTTCAACCGTGCTTTTTAAGCACACCATAGAACTTGTCATTCGCGAGTGATGATAAGGGCCGTCCCGGCACGCATTGGCCACGAACGCGAATGCAAATATTCCTCGACAGATGAATTGTTGACGAGCGCGTACGTCCGAGTGCAAAGCATTGCAAGCGTGACGTTTTACATTGCTTAATGTCACAACTCAAACTACGTTTTTGGTCTAAACATATGTTTCGGCGTCGCCATTCGCTAAGCTACCTCCGTAAGTTGCGCTGATTGGCTCCCCGACAGTTTTGCGGGAAAATAGACGCACGGGGTTTATTTTTTTTAGTGTACGTGAGAGTTTTCAGACAAATTGAAAACTATGTGAACATCCAGATACTTATACGAGGACACAGGTTCGATGCAGCGGTTACCGAGAGAGTAAACAGAACGTGAAGTATTAAGACGGGACACACGCATGTATTTACATTTATTTGAGTTTGGTTTTCTGCACCTCAGGTTACACCCCTCCGAGAGGTGGTTATAGTTAGAAGAAAATCGATATGCTTTTGGCAACCCGTTCAAATTTCAAATCCTTTTTTTTTTCCAGTAGAGATGTTGTCATCATTGTTAATATTGCGATAAACAACGCAGTTACATGCGAACAAGAGTGACTGATGAAAATTTATATTTTGGTAAGTCATTAACATATATTAGAAATAGGAACGGCCCCATAACATAGCCCTTCGGAACACATGAAGTGGAGATGGGTGAAAGTCGATAGACATCATTTGTGGTAACAAATTGGCATCAGTTTGTTAGAACCTAGCGTATCCATGCGACCGACTGTGGTCTATATTTAAACTGCTAAGTTTTTGTTTTGTTTTTAAAGAAGAAGGTAGTGGGGACTTTTTCAAAAACTTCAAAAAAGGCGAGAAAAATGGAGTCCACCTGGGAACCACAGTCAAGAATGGAGTGACGATCAGGAGTGAAACACGGAAGCTGGATCCCAAGAGAAGTCGATTTCCGGAACCCATGCAGCGCCGAATTGTAGGATGAATTGGACTCAAAAAAGTTTGCAAATTGCGAGTTTATGACATGTTGAAAGAATTTACATTGTATGCGAGTAAGAGAGATGGGGCGATAGTTACTTGGACATGGTTTATCATCTGAATTGTGAAGGGGAATAACGTTCACAACCTTCCAGCCACCAGAAATTAAGCCAAGCTCAATAGATTGAAAACGTTTAGTCAAAACAATAAAACTGTACATATTAATATTCTTAAAAAATGCTCGGATTTTTTTATCAATACCACTATAAAAATATATTTTAAGATCATATATCGATTTAGATTGAAGAACTTTCTTTTAAATAAACCCTGGTACATCGCCACGGCGAGCACAACTCAGACAGACCAACTGTTCCTGCTCATGATTTATTGACGAATTTGTTTCTTTCTGGGACTTGCGAAGATTGCTTTCTGTTGCCGTTGTCTCGTAAATTCCGTTTTTTCCCCTCTTTTTTACTCGCACACCTCTGGTGTTTTTGCGGTGAAGACGCAGTTGAGTGGCGGTGGACCATTGGTTCTTGCACGGAAAGGTAATTTGCTCATCAGCCCAAGTTTCACATTGCGTGTCAACCAGCACTTTGCTTGTCACACGTTAATTTTCTTCCAAAAAGCTTGTTTCCACACTTCCACGAGCCCTTATATTATCACAACGACGTTTTATTTTGACATTCCAGTAATCACATCTGCTTCTTTCAGTCTCGCTAGTTTTCAGCTTCCAAACTACGTTGATTTCCCGTGACTCGATTTCTTTTGACGAACCAAAAATTGACATTGAATATTCGGTTTTGCTCCGTACTTCCTTGAGTTTAAATATTTATTTCTTACTTTAATCGCCGGTTATTTCGTTTTCATTTTTCATGTAGAATTCATACTACTCACATTTATCAAATCTAATATAATATTTTCTTCGTACTGCATGAAATCTGCAAACGCTTTCTAGAGACTTCGACGCCCGCGACGCTCTACTTTCTTCTGTTCCCTACTTTTTTTCTTTTTTTTTTTTGGGGGGGGGGGGGGGGGCACAAGTTCGCCCCATTAAACGTTTAGTTTCTTCAGTTATCATCGCCTCATCATTTGTCATTCGTGACAATATATGCTTGCGGCAGACGACGGACACATGCGGAATGACTGAATTCGGTATGTTGTCTGCAAGTGTTTGAATCGTTTGCAAAATGACACGATTTTATCCTTTATATTTTGGGAACATGGCAGGTCTAAGAAACCTCATCACGTTTATAAAAAAAATATATATATATTTGCGTGCGGTACAACATACAGTCTGAGAAAAATCTTGCGAGGGAAGCATCTGTTTAGAACATGATGTCAAAGCATCGACAAGCCCTTCTCTGTGGTTTTGTAGTTGAGGTGCATTGTAATGGGGGGTGGGGGGGGGGGGGGGGGCGCCTTAAGAATAAATTATTTTGAGTCTTACGTGATCGGTTCGAGAAACGAATTTTCGTTCGCAGGCCCGCGATATGAGTGTGTGCTCCGTACCTGCTTGCAACTATCACACTGAGAAGAAATCCTGCTGATTTTGCCGTTTTCAGTAAGACCCCAAATACCGAAAGAACTTTATCAGGTAAATTTATACTTGTTACGCACAGTTCATTTGATCACAGATATGTAAACTGAAGCAGCTTGTGTGCAGTCAGAACTCCCTGAAACTAATGCTGACATGCATTACGACGTTGAAAGGCTTCACGTCGTCGTCCTATCCGGTTCGGCCTTCACGGTGTTTTCACCTTCTTAAATATTGAGAAAGCCTCTACCTGCCGGCCTTCGCGCACCCGCGCTCATCGAGCGTCGACCAAAGCTGTGCACGGGCACTTTTCGCTTCCAAAATCTCACACCAAGTTCACCCCGAGAATAGAAGTTTCGTCGCTCGCTACCAACTTAATTTAGCGCAGTTATGTACTCCCTCACAAAGAACCACCGAACCCGCGAAGCCATCGTGTCGTCTGCTAGCAAGGCCGAACCGGTTATAAAGCTATAGACGCTTTGCAGCAGCTGTGCATGGGTGCCGCCATAAGCGACCTTCAGTTTTTGTTACCTTTTATTACAATTACTTCAGTTGGTCATTACCACAGCAGGGAAGGTTATTGCCCTTTTAGGTTCTGCTGTGTCTTCCTCCACAGCACTGACCTTTGTGGAGGCTCGTCAACGCCCGCTTTAGTTGCTTCGCATCTGGTAAAGACAACTGAAGGTCATCAATGGCGGCTGTAATTTGGCGCGTGTGTAAAGCGTCTATATTACGGGCTTTTATTATCGCTTTCCGGCACTGAGACGAAAGAAAAAAGTATTCATGATTAGATATTAGGAAGACATAATG